TTTGATGAAAATTTTTTATTTGAATTTTACAGATCTATAGAATTTAAATAAAAAATTTTTTATCAAGTTTGATTAATTTATTGTTGAGATATTTTCAATCAAAGTTGTAATGAAAATTTAACACAGTTTTTTGTAATAGATATTTTAAAATTTAGAAAAAAATTGATCAAAAGTATCTCAGTAACCATTTGATCAAATTTGATAAATTTTTTTTTATCTAAATTCTACAAATCTATAAATTTAAATAAAAAAAGTTTTATTGAATTTGATTAAATAGTTGCTGAGATATTTTTGATCAAAGTTGTGATAAAAAATTTGTTATAAGTATTATATGATAGATGTTTTAAAATTTGAAAATAACTAGGGTGTGGCAACCTAGTGAAGAGGTCAGGTTGTTAACCTCCAAGTGGCAAGTTCAGAGTTCAAATCCTAGTGTTGACAGAAAATTTGAAAATTCTCTCTGTATTATAGTTAACTATCTCTTACAATTGGTTAAGATAAGACATCTGTTATCTATATCACACTAGTATGACTAGCAGGTCACATAGCATTTGTGTAATAGTCATATGACATTGTTTTTTAGGACAAGATCTGTAGCTACACAAAGAAATGCAAATAGGTATTAGGCAGTACAAACCTACAATAAGTTCTTGTGGCCATATAAATTATAGAAACCAAAAGAAGAAAGATGAAAGCCCACTTGGAAGACCTGAGTAGAGAGATAATCTGAACTTTTGATGATGCTACTGTAAAGACTAAACCTATGAAATGGAGCTAGAACTTGTGAAACTGAGCAAATGCGCTAGTCTTTGAGAAGGAACCAGATAAACCAACCAGACTACTAGAATTGCTGAATTCTAAAGGAAAAGATTACATGTTAACAAACATGTAAATCAGAAGTGTATGACTTTGACCTGCCTTTCTGGGCTATCTGGTTTGGCAGCTTGGTGAAACTTGAATTGAATATCAAAGTAGTAGGAATATATTGTAAAGTCAGTACCAGAGTTGGAATAAACTCTACAAGAGCATAGTGGTTTAATAGTACATACTGACTGCCAATGTTAGTCTCAGCTATAGTGATATTAAGTTAGCTGTAAAAATAGAATACAGAAGATTCTGAAAGGTTTAGTACAAGGTCAAAGTTTTCTCATATAAGTGAACTGCTTTAAGACTTAGTGGCCATGATATATTTTTACTAGTATCAGCCAGGATCATTAGTAGGCAAAGATAAGTGGATGAATACAGAAACAGAATAGTTAAATAAGAAACCTACAAGCAGGTTTTAGGTATAACAGTTAGTATAAAACCTTCAGGCGAACTATTTAAATTAGACAATAACTAAAGTTATATGAGTAGCTAGTTGTACACTCTTTCTATAGTTGCCTTCTGTAGTTGTAAAGAATCTATTAGCCAAATATACTATCAATAAAATTCTGAGTCACAAGTACTCATCTTAATATTTAAAAAAAAAAAACTTTAAAAATAACTTTAATTGAAAATATTTTAATAACTATTTAATAAAATTTAATAAATTTTTATTTATTTTTTTTTATTTATTTATTTTTTTTTATTAAACTACCTTTTTTTGGATCTAGGGTTTTATTCAGTAAATTGGATATAGGGACTCGTGGCTGAAGCCTCAAAAAAGTTACCTTACATTAGAGAATACAACTAGTTATATGTACACTTTTGGTGTCCAATTTAAGTAGTTCACCAATGGTTCTATACTAACTGTCATATCTGCAACCCAACTAGAGGCATTGCCTATTTAAACCTTCTGTGCTGCAATCCTTACTGTATTACTAGATTATCTCTGATATAGCTATCAGTCAAAAAGATCTAGATACTTTTACTTATTTCCCTTAGGACCCCATACCTTATTTCATGCAGTGTATCCTCAAAAACATTATTACTAGAGCCTTCTGTGTCCTATACACAGCTGATCTAGTTTTATGTAACATGCTATAGTTACTTAATACTTGTAGTTACAGGAGTTATCTGTTTAATTGCTATATTATACTATTTCTACTCTTGTAAAGTTCATCCAAATCCTGGTACCTATCTTTCTGACTTCTTCTCTTTATCTCTCTACTATCCAACTTAGAATCTGACAGACTCTCCAACTTCCAATTCAGATAGCCCAGTGTGGTATATCTTGGTATCTTTTTTCTTTAATGATTCTAGCAGTCTAATTGGTCATATGCTTTTTTACACATCTTTTCATCCAGTTGCATATTCACCTATTCCTTATTGGGGTTTCCTGGGCTTCCATTAGTTTGATAGCACTGTCAAAGACTTGTGTTACTCTTTACTTAAGAATTTCCAAGTAGACTTCTGTCTTCTCAGTTTCTTGGTTTTTTACATCTGGTGGTCTTATTATGGGTTTGCACCGAAGTCTTATGTGATACTAGTTATTAATATTTATCTATATATGTGTAATATTACACTTCACATAAATGCCCCAGGCTTCCAATAACAAGTAGAACCTGATTGGTTGTACCCAAGATTACAGATACCTAAATCCAACTAATTGACAAAAAACAATTTACTGTAATACAAGTTAATTACCAACTTTTATCATAGGTAGAATTTGAACCTTAGACTTGCTACTTGAAAGATGACAACCCAACTACTACACTAGGATCACCATCCTTTAAATTTTTTTTATCTGAATTTTATAGATCAATAGAATTTAAATAAAAAATTTTTATCAGATTTGATTAAATAGTTGCTAAGATATCTTTAATTAAAGTTTTGTTAACAATTTTGATATAAGTATTATATGATAAATGTTTTAAAATTTGAAAAAATAACTTTGATCAAAGTATTTTAGCAACCACTTGATCAAATTTGATGAAAATTTTTTTATTTAAATTCTATAGATCTGTAAAATTCAAATAAACAATTTTCATCAAATTTGATCAAGTTATTATTGAGATATCTTCAATCAAAGTTGTGATAAAAATTTTTATACAGTTTTTTATAATAAATATTTTAAAATTTGAAAAATAATTTGATCAAAGGTATCTCAACAATCACTTAATCAAATTTAATAAAAATTTTTTATCTAAATTCTACAGATCTGTAAAATTCAAATAAAAAATTTTTATCAAATTTGATTAAGTAGTTGCTAAGATATTTTTGATCAAATTGTAATAAAAATTTTAATACAAATATAATATAATAGATGTTTTAAAATTTAAAAAATTAATTTCTTTTAATAATATCCTAACAACTACTTAATAAAATTTAATAATTTTTTTTATTTAAATTCTACAGATCTGTACAATGCAAATAAAAAAAATTTATTAAATTTGTTCAAGTAATTGCTAAGATATATTTGATTAAAATTTTATTAAAAATTTTGATTTAAGATTTTTTTTCTAAGTTATTTTGAAAATTTAACAAATTTTAATTAAATATATCTCAACAACTATTTCATTAAATTTAATAAAAATTTTTTGTTTAAATTATAAAAATTTGTAAAATTTAAATAAAAAAATTTTATTAAATTTGAATAAATAGTTGTTAAGATATAATTAAAAAAAATTTTAAAAAAATTTAAAATTTTATTATTGTTTTAATAATTTTTTATGTAATCTGATTGGTTAATTATAGGGGTTGTTATGATGATAGGTCATTATAAACTAATGCTCATATATTAAAATGAAAATTTATAATCATATATATAGTATTTAAAATCTGAATCATGTAATATAAAAATTTATTTTACATAACTATATAATATTAATATAAAAATTTTATAACTATATTTAAAACTTGGATCATATGCTCTAAAAATTTATTTTGTATAGCTTGATATAATGCAAATTTGGAGAAATATAGTTATATATATTATTTTTTTATACTTTTATTTTTTGTATTGTCAACATTATTTATATCTAAACTTTACTATTAAAAATAATATTACTTTTAACTTTTAAAGCAAATATGAGCTTGAATAATTTTAAAATTTGTTATTTACATAATTATAATTTTTGTAATATCTATGATACTTAAAATTTTTAGTATATACAAAATTTTAGTGATTATTAAAATATTTAAAGGTTTTATACTACTGAATCTAATCAGCATTTTATAAATTTTTAAGATACTTTAGATCATTCTTATAATAGCTTAAATTATAACAATATACAAATATCAAACTATTAGTTTAAATTTTTAACTATTTACAAGCACTTAACAACTTTAATAGTTTACATATACAAGATCTTAATCAGCAAGATTATGATAATTATGTCTAATTTATTTAAAATTCTAATAAGCATAATTCTAATAACCTGCAGGTTTATGATTCTAATAACCTTTATATTTATAATTTTAATGAACTTCAAGTTTATAATTTTAATATAATTCTAACAATATTTATATTCATAATCTTAACAACTATTATGTTTACAATTCTAACAATCTTCATATTTATAGTTTAAATAATCTTTATATTCATAATTTAATAACTTTTGCATCAAGTATAATGTACAAAAATTACATGACAAATTATTAGATGTCTTATTTTCCAAAAATAGCCAAAAAGAAATCTATAATAAAATAGTTTATTTGTGTAAAATATTTAATAATGAATTTCAAGATAACAAGTTAGATGATATATATTTAGAATTAATTCTAAAGTTTTTATTTCAAAATTGATAATCATTTAAAGTTTGGCTAAATTGTTTTGCATTATAAGAAAGTTTAACTATAAAATTAGAACTAATAAAAAGAGTAAAAAAGATAGTATAGTTAGATAAACTAATTATATATGTTCCAAAGCTAGTATATATAATTCAAAAGTTACAATTGACTCAATTAGAAGGTGTAATAATGTATCTTAGAAAATAGAATGCTCATGAAAGTTGAATATTATATTTTTCAAATTATCATCTGTAGTGAAAATCAATTTATTTAACAATAATTACAACTATTCACTTTTTTTTATAATTAGAAAGATTTCTTCTTAGTTTCAAAAATTAATACCAAAAATGTTAACTAATATTGAAAAATATGTTGTTCAAAGGCAAATGGATTCAGAAACTATATATTCTTTACTTAAATATGATTATTCTAAGCATTCTCTATACAAATGTAATTTATATAATGCTGTGTTTGCTTTTAGACAAAAAATAATCTTGGTGATTTAGAACATAATTAATGCTTTAGATATTATTAAAGTAGAAAGAAGAAAACATATTATGGATTGTTAAGTCATATTTAGATCCTATATCTAGAAAATTAGTTTTATTATTTTGAATGTCACACTTTCAAAAAGTTTTATATAAAACTTTTTACAATATAGCAATAATGAATATTACTTCAAGTACAAATAGCTTTTAATTAATACTTTATATTATTACTGTAATTAATAATTACTTTAAAACATAAATTGTAATATGTGATATTATTAAAGATGAAACTTTAAGTACATTTCAATAGCTTTTTAAGGAATTATTCAAAGAAATAGGCATTGTTCTAACAACAATATTCACTGATAATAATCCTGCTATAATAAATATAATTAAAAATGTATATCCTACTGCAAATTATATTCTGTATATATTTCATTTAGACTTAAATATAAAAAAAATTTAAGAAGTAAATTAGATACTCAATTTAAGGCATTCTAGTCTAATTTTTATATTTGTTATAATAGCCTATATATAGTTTTTTTAGAAGTAAATAAGTAAAATTACTAGAAAATTATAAGTAATTACAAATTATATGACTAAGACTTTTTATAACAGCAAGAATTATGGGCTATTTCTTGAATCAACAAAATATTTATAACAAAAGTGCAAAGAACTCAAAGAGTTAAATTTATTAACATACATATTTATCAAAAAGTTGATTGTGCAATTTTTTTATATAATTATCAACAAACTTTAATAATTGTATTAATCAAGAAGAGTACTTAACTAAATTTAAAACTCAACATTATGCACTTTTTACAACTGGGTTACCAATGCTATGTAATTATTTTTTTTCAAAAGTTGATAAAATGTTAAAGCAATTTATAACATCTATTATGCTTGAAAAACAATGTAATAAAATAAACTTAAATGTATGTTATAATATTGTATATCTCCAAAGTTAGTATGAGTTGATAGAAGTATGTATATATGTATATATATATATATAAATATTTGCATTTAATTCTATTTTTGTTAATTTCATATTATATAATTGTAATATAATATTGTAATAAAAACATACAGATAATAACAATATTAAACTTTGGATTAAAAAACAAAAATATAACATGTATCAAATTCTGTTCACATCTTTAATACAAGGTATTCTATATAAAATAATTCTTTAAGTGTAGCATATATGCTATACAAAAAGCTTAGAACATAAACACTATATAATTCTACTTAATAACAGTACATACTTATATATCTGTCTTCTTCTGGTTAATAAAGAATTAATTTGCTGACATTTTTTTTGTGTTAGTATATATCTTTATTGACTACATTTTATATTGCAATTATTCCAAATTGTTGATATTTGAAACCACATATTATATCAAATAATTTGGTTTAATTATCTGCAATAACTATTTTTATATCTAAGCAATATACTCTAGAAGTTATACAATATGTAATACTAGAACACTTTTTCTCAATTTGACAAAATAGTAAATTAAAGATCAAATTATTTAATGCTAAAGCAAGATATGCCAAGTTATTTGGTTTTTTAAAAATGTAATTAACCTTGCACTTAAGGCTAATCTATATAATTAACTATCTAATATCTTTAATAATTTTCTTAATAAAGTGCAAGACAAAATAAATATTGATTAAAAACAAGAAAATTATATAAATATTGTTAAATATCTAATTATTACTAAACATAAACATTCTTTTAAAAGACTTAAATCTTGTATAGAACAGACCTTGCACAAAGATAAGCAACTACTAAAGACTAATATGTTATTTAATATAAATAACAAAAGGTTAGAATTTGATTTGAGCTTCAAAGGTTTAAGTATTAACAAAGATCATATATATAAAAACTATAAACAGTTGGGTTATTATGCTAAAACCTATAAGTATATATAATTATTAGTTATAATTAAAATAATTTGATTGTAATGTTTAACAATTGGTGTCTTATAATAAGTTTTAATTCCTTAAATTATTAAGCTAATTCAGTAAATTTGAATCAAAGTTAATAATTCAATATCATTAAGTCTGATTCAAATAATGCAAAATAAGAACTACATATATTTAAAAGTTGGTTGTTATATCAAATAGTTATATTGTATTTGCAGTATTAATTTATATAGTTATGCTTCAAATATATTTTTGAAGATTAATAAAGTCAGATTTAGTTAGTATGTGATATTTGCATGTATTACATATATTGACTATGAACAAATGCTTATAAACATAATTATTAACTAGTATTACTAAAAGCTATTTGATTTAATATTAATATTAGTCAGTATTGTATTTATATAACTAAAATATTGCAATCTCTATAGCTAACATTAAACTAATTAATATATATAATATAGTTAGTAGAATTAATAATATGTCTTGTTTATTTCATTTCTCTAAATGTGCTAACAAAAATTTTATATACTAAAAAAAGCATTGTTAAATTATTTTAGAATTAGAACTTTTATATTAAGGTTAGGATTTAGCAAGTCATATAGTAAAATCATTCAAGAAAATTTTTTTGTTAAAGCACAAAAAGCTTTTTTTTATATGAATTTTTGAGAAACAAATAATTTTTTTTAAACAAATATTTGTTTTAAATTTCTAATTATGTTGTATTACACAAAATTATAATATATTATTGGCTAAAGTTTATCGATTGTTATATGAGTATAATAGTTTTATTAGTAAATTTTTTAATTTATTTGCAATTATCACATAATTACTAATTTGTGTTTGCATATTCTATATACAAATAGTAATTTTTTTATTAAAATATACTTTTTACAATAATATAAAATTTAATAGTAGATGTGGGTCCTATAGCTTAATTGTTAAGCTCCCATACTACCACAGTCAAGGTCAATGGTTCAAGTTTGGCTGAAGGCAAAAATTAAAAAGATTTTAGCTTCTGTAATCTATAAGGAGACTATAATTGAACATAAAGCTCTTTGGTTAAGTTTAAGTGCAGTACATGACAGAAAAAGGAATTTCTGAAAGGAGACTAACTTTGCAGAAAGCAGGCACTATGGGTGATAGCAGTGTCACAGAAGGTTCTATTATATAAAGTATTGGGCATATAAGTCATCTGAAAACAGGGCAGTACCAACATCTTTACATTCAACTTGGGAAGTAATTGATTGGGAGAGTAATACTAAGATAACACGTACTGAAATGATGAGAGAAGCAGTGTATGCATAGAAGGTCTGTAACAAAGAATTAGCCTTATTAAGATTAGAAGCACCTCTGGCACTGTAGAACAACTAAAAATAGAAGGTAGCTGTATATATAGAGAAGTTGTAGCCTGTTCTGTACATCTAAAGGTACCAAACTAGAGCTCTGGTCATACCTATATGAAAGCTTATAGCAAAACAAGTAAAACACATCAATATAAATACTGTACCAATCAAAGTTAAGATACTTAAATTGGAAGTAACTTTTGCGAACAAGCATGAAGCATCTGTGGGAATGCAGATTTATACAGGTATCTGTATAGGCCAGTATATACAGAGGAATGCAAACTGGCTTTGAGCAATGCAAACACACGATAAGTTCTCATGTGTTTAAGTAAAAAGAAAATATTGGCCAATGGCTAGAAGAAAATGGAAGTACCATTTCTGAAACATAGTTCTATTATACTATAAAAGAGAGTATTTAAGGAGCAGATTAAATGCACAATCTGTTTAAATAATACTAAGACCAAGAAGGGTTGCAAACTAGCAGTAGTAGCAAGGACCTGGCTTAAAATATATGCTACCAGTACTTAAATTGAAAAAATAGCAGTGACAGCAGGAATCTGGCTTGAGATACATATTAAAAAGGCACCCTTCAGGCAAACCAAAGATAGGAGCTTAAAAGAAGCAAACAACCTGGTAGACCAATTTGGAAGTTGTGAAAAATAGGTTGTAAGACATAGAAGAATATGCAGGTTATCTAATATAATCAGTAGTAAAACAAAAATCCAGGTTAGGTGTAAGTAGGATATAATACAAAGCTCTGGTAGGTTTAGATCACAGATAAAGATGTCTAAGTTCTATGTCTGAATAGATATATAGTGATAGATGATGTATAATAAAAATTGTACTAGTTATAACCAATATACCAATAAAAACTTAAGGGCATAACCTCACCTTAACAATAAAAAAAAAAAATTTAATAGTTAAAATATTAAAAAAAATATACTTGTATATATGTAAAGTTTTCTGTAATAACCTCAAATTCCCTATAATAACACAAAATTAACAATTTTAATTCATTTATATTATATAATTACTATATAACAAAAATAATATCTAATCTTTAAATACATATTTTTTACTAAATATTTAACTAATTTTAATAATTTTACTATTATTAAAATTAAAAAATCTATTCTATAAACTTTATTTAAAAATCTAAAATAATTAATTTAAAATTTTTTTAAGATATTAAAAATAAAAAAAATTATTATCAAAGTTATATAAAAAATAATTTACATTAAACTCTACTCTTAATTTTATTACTAATATTACCAATTCATTTAAAAACAATTAAACTACAATTAATAACTTATCTTTATTATATAATTAAAAAACTATTAATATAAATTATATTACAAAAACAAAAATTTTAATTCTAATTTAATATAATATAATTCTAGGTTAAAGTATAAAAAAAAATAAAAGTTAGTAAAAAAACAAGTTTAAATCTTAAAAAAAACTAGTGTTTACTTATAAATAAAAACTCACTAGCCAAATCTAATATAACTATTTTAATATAACCACTATAAGTTATATAAAAATTTGATTAGATTAGTAACAAACTTGCCAATTTTCAAACAAACAATATATATAATATATACTATTAAGCATATATATATAACTTTAATTTTCTTTAATTAAGAAATATGAAAACTTAGTAAAGAAGATAAGTTATCAATCCTTCAAATTATAGATAAAAAGTTCAAAACCCATTAATAGTAAAAATTTAAATAATCAACTATGTAATATATAAATAGTATTATAACAATAGCATTCTGTTAATCAGTTGAAATAAAATATTTGTAA